CATAAAAACTGAATAATTTTATTTATTTGCGTGAGGGTTAATTTAATTTAAAATTCTACACCTCTTCACAAAACCCTTAAGTATTTACACAATTCGTTCTGCCATCTTAAAGGTGTGAGTTATCTTCTTAAATTTCATTTTACTTTACGATCATTAATGTAGTTTTTTAATGTACCCGGACGTCACTACCGAATACGGTCGTTCTGCATTTATGGTGCTATATAGTCGAGTTTAAATTCAGAAAAGCTCTAGCAAAAAATTATTTTCGATACAAAAGTCACTAAAACACTTTTTAAACCAGTGCTATATTTGTCCAGACTTTTTTCTTATTTAAAACAAGAACATATAAACATATAGAACATATAAAGACAAAATTATTTCAATTTAGTAAGAATTACCAGAAAGCGCCAATAAAACCGATGTAACTTGATCACTAAATATTATGTTGTTATAAACTTTTGACACATACCTTTGAATGTTGCCACTTACTAAAAAATATATGCCTTTGTCAATACTAATGGCAATATTAAACCTATTAAGTGCTTCAAACTAATAAATTAGGGATTACTTTACTTTACTCGTACTTTAAACACTTTCACTTATGATGTTTTCAATAGGTAAATCTGGATTCAATATAGATTTACTCTAGATCTGTCAAATTTTGTGACCCAATTGAACATTTTAAGAATAATCTAACATTTTTATAATCGTATTAGTAGACATTTGCTCTTTTGCCCAATAACATATATGAATCAATAACTTACAGTTTGTCGGTCATATCATACGAAACAGCTGTTAATTTCAGGGTAATCTTGCTACTCTGGCAAAATATCTAGAGTGTTATAAATTCATCTCGAGTGTTATACATTTTGCCCCAGTTTTACCAATCAAAAATGAAAATGCACTGAAAGTGCATTAAAAGAGCATGTCGATTGAAAAAATTACTCCAGATTTAACAAACGAAAAAGCCATTTATTTGATCATAGAATTTGTATGGAGAAGCACAGTATATTATACACTTTATGTATACTTTACGTATATAAGAAAAAAATAAAAATTTATAATGTTAAAGTTTCATATTTCAACATTTAAGAATCTTTTAACTGAGAAATTTTAAAGCCCCGTTTGCTAATCTGCGTGGCGTCTGTGTTTTAAATCTCACCTAATTAAAATTAAATAAATAAAAAATTATCTGATAAGATTTCTATATATACAATTATAATTTTATTTTGCACAAATGCATTTAATACTATTAAAAAAAAATTAAAAATATTAGAAATATTTTGTCAGTCTGACAAAATCTCATCGCATTCATTCATAAAAACTGCTGCATAGTTTCTGATGACGACTTTGAATTAATTCCAATTTATTAAATAATAATTTTTATTTAAACATTTAATTATGTGAATTAATTTTCAAGTGCAAAATATTACAATATCTGCTAAAAATAACAAAAATAACAAAAAAAAAACAAAAAATAAAGATAAGAAATCATAAAAGGTGGCGTTAATGAGAATCGTTAATATTTAAAAACGTTCACAAGTTGACGATGGACGGGCGATGACGAGGAAATTTTTGCGTTTTTATCACAACAATCAACAAATTTTGTTAAATAAACTAGCTTTGCAGATAATGGCATGCGACTTCGCATTTATATGAATATTAATTATAACAATAATATATTGAAACAAAACCGATTACAGAGAGATATGAAAACAACTTCAAAACTTGATGGATTATTATAAAAGTAAAAGTGTTTGATGCACTTCACTAATTCCAAGCAGTATTAAACTTATTCCGATAATAGGAGGGGAAACCGACTTTTTAATTAACAACTCTTTAATATATATATATATTCTCTTTAGACATATATTTCTCTAGAGAGCATTAGTATACCAAGAATACGTATAAATCTACCAAATATGTGACATTTGTCATCTTTATATCGGAGTATTTCTGTTTTAATTTTTTGTATATATTTAAACCACTTGTACCAAGGTTCTAACCTAATTAATTGCAAAAACCTAATAATATTATAAATATATATACAGTCAAGCTTCCATAACTCGAAGTCCAATTTTGCGAAGAAAAAGTTCGACTTATGGAGACTTCGAGTTAGAGAATTGTTTTATTTGTTTTTTATTTTTAAAAGAAACTAGAATTACATTTTAAGATATTTATTTATTTACAAACAAATACAGCACAGAAATTATACTGAAGTAAAATATTCAGAAATTACGGTTTGAGACTTTAATTTTTTTATTTTTTTCAGTAAAAAGAGATTCCAATTTATTCATACTTTGGTAGTGATCATCAGTTGTACTATCATGCATTTGCAAATATTAATTCAGAATTTTGAATGAGTCTTCTACTTCATTCATGGTAGGTTGATGAACAATTACATCCACCGAACCACCGAACCCCGTTGCGCTTAGAATCAGATCCACTAATTCAGAGCTATAATGCTCAATAATATCGTCATCTGTAGGAAATTTTGATGTACAAATTTCATTGTCAAGCTCAATATAATCGTTAAGAGTAGCATTGAAACTTATTTTATTAACTTTAAACCACACTACCAGCGAATGGCATTCACACAAAGAAGCAATATAAGAAAGAAAAAATTAAACATTTAGTTTGGAAAAAGGGACTTCCCCTAATAGCAAAATGCATTTATACTTAAAACAAAAATTCGACTTATAAAATGCACTTTCCCCATATTTCTATCGGTACGGGAAAAAATTTTTGTTGAAGTTATAGAGAAATTCGAGTTATAGAAGTTCGAGTTATGGAAGCAGAATTGTATGTAATTTGCTCTCTAAAACCTTGGTACACAGTTTTTGGTTCGAGTTATAGAAAATTCGAGTTATAGAAGTTCGAGTTATGGAAATTTGACTATATATATATATATTTAGAGTGCAATAATATATCAAGAATACGTAGAAATCTACCAAATTTGTCACATTTGTGGTCTATATATCAGAGTATTTCTTTTTTAATTGTTTGTATATATTAAGACCACTTGTTCCAAGGTTCAAACCTTAGTAATTGCATAATCCTAATATTATAAATCTATGTATATATTATTCTAGAGAGCAATAATAAATCAAGAATAAATAAAAATCTACCAAATATGTCACATTTATATCAGAGTATTTACTTTTTTATTTTCTGTATATATTTAGACCACCTATTCCAAGGTTCTAACCTTGTAATTCGGTTATCTGTTATACCTGAATGTATTTGCTTATTCTAAGTATTTCATGGAACAATTTTCGTTTTACAATCCATAAGAATTAAGTTACTCTATATTCATCGGTGTATTCAAAATTTTCCAAACAAGTATCTCTAAATTTCTTTGTCATTGTGGCAATATATTGTTATCATAATCTATATGAAGATAATAAAAATTTAAAACATTATCGCTACTAACAATAATAATTAGCAAACATTATAAACAAAATCGAAACTGACTTGCAAAAATTTGTTTGAAATAAACTTTGACGTCTTGGTTAGCAACAAATAAAAACTTAAAATTAGTATTTTTAAAAAAAAAAACATTAAATAAAGTTTAAAAAAAATATTAAATGTGAGGCAGTCACAACAACATGCTAGACTAAGTCCAGACGATTATTTGATTTTGGTAGATGCAGCCGACGCGTGGCTAGAAGACTAATTCAATGCGCAGCTTTTAAGTTTAGTTTTGCTAATTTCGCATGTCTGAAACCAGTATCGATTGATCATATGAAAAATTTATGTCATGTTTAATTTTAAGTACGCTTTTTGTAAATTAATCAATAACAACTTTAACATTAAATATAATAGAGGGTTAACACTCAAACTGAAACTCCATACATACTAATCTTAATTAAAATATATTCGTCATATACATTTATATATAAATTTAAAATATCAGAACTTCATATACTTCATACGTTTAGTCTTTAATATTTATATGTTAAGACCCAAAAATTTATACATTAATATACACCGTACACACTAGGTTAAGTACATACAAAAACAACTAACGACATGAAAAAGTTAAGAACTCCATACATTATACATATATGTACACATCCGACTGTGTGGCTGTTAACTAAAGGGTTACGTCCTAAGTTATACTTATGACTTTGTTTTCAAAAAATGTTGACATATTTCTAGGCGATACTGGACCTAGAACTGAAGATATATCGCTGTCAAAATGAAGAACACACCTGCCATTGACAACAATTTTAAATAATTAAAGGATCCATAAAGGATCCATACCGTATCGATCAAAGGCCAGAACTAGGGAGCTACTCACTAGTTAAAAAGCATCTATTGAACCTAGGTATTACTAGAGATAGCTGCAGACTTTGTTGTGAAGAAGAAGAAACAGCAGCTATTACTAGAGGTAGCTGCAGACTTTGTTGCGAAGAAGAGGACACAGCAGAACATATTTTGTGTCACTGTGATAGTCTCGCCAGACTCAGACTTCGGTACTTATCTACTGCTCATCTACTTATAATGGAATTAGGCAACATCCCTCCAAAGAACATAATGGTCTTCTTAACTGCTACTCGTCTATGGAACTAAAGAGGGTGTGTCACAATAATCCTTAAAGGATGTAGTGACATGGTGAAAAGTTCTTGTTTTAAAATCTAATCTAAACTAATCTAATATGGAGACATACATATATATGAACTTATGGTGTCAATATATTGTATTAAACCCAAATTAATACCATGGACAAGTATTTTATAAGTATACTATATGAATTCACCTTTAATTTTTTTTTTGGAAAAAAAATTGTAAATAATGAACTTAAAATAGATCTTCACTCGTTTCTTTTATATACAATTATATTGTATATAATTACAAAACGATTAACAATATAATATTAAAAAGTATATGTTATAAAAGTATGTTATTTTGTATTTATATAAATAAATTACTAAACTATTAATCACATAATATTAAAAATTTAAACATTTAAAATATTTAAATTTTCTTTATTATAGAAAAATCTATGGTTATGGTTGAGGTGGTACTAATCCTAGCAGCCTTACTGCTCGGATTTTATTGCAATGTGAACAGACACTTCATTTTGTCTAAGTGCCTCAAACCGCTACTGGAGCGCCAGGAATTTATAAAATTTAACACAACACAGAATGGCTACCAACAGCCAAACGCCAACGATCCAAGACCTAAAGACACAATCTGGGATATACCAGGACCAGCAGCGAATACAAGTTTCGGCTTCAAATGGTTGCGAAATTTATTTACGCGTGACTTCAAAATGTCCAAACTACACGAAGTGTACACGGGTGAGTGTGTGGTGGGTTTACAAACATATATTTTACTACGTCTTTAATAGACTTTGTATTTAAAAAAAAATTTTTTTCTTCGTAGAATTAAATCTTCAGTATGGCGATATTGTGCGTGAGGTTAAAGGTGGCGGCATACCAGTGGTGCACCTATTTAACAAAAACGATCTCGAAAAGGTGCTAAAGTACCCCAGTAAATATCCATTTCGACCACCTACCGAAATAGTTGTTACCTATAGACGCTCACGTCCTGATCGTTATGCGAGTATTGGCATTGTCAATGAGTACAAATTATAATAAAATTCTTAAATGCTGACCTTTAAATGGGTTTATCATTTCAGACAAGGCCCCACTTGGCATAAATTACGTTCTTCGCTAACTTCATCTATAACTTCTCCACGTATAATACAACATTTTTTACCTGCCCTCAATAGTATTTGTGACGACTTTATAGATTTATTACGCAAAGAACGTGATCCATTGACAAATGAAGTTCGAAATTTCGAAGATATAGCAAATTTAATGGGCTTAGAGGCGGTTTGCATGTTTATACTCGGTCGCCGTATGGGATTTCTGACGACAAAGTCAAAGCAACCAAAGAAGATACAAACACTGGCTGTGGCTGTGAAGCAATTGTTTATCGCGCAACGTGATTCTTATTACAGTTCAGGATGGTGGAAACTGTTACCGGGCATGGTTTATAGAAAATTTGCACGTTCCGAAGAAATTATTTATGAGTGCGTAATAATACCTTTCATTTAGATTTTCTTTCATGTATTTTTTTCATATTTTTAAGTTATTAATTATTGATATATTTAAGCATTAATTTTAGTAGTTATTTGTTATTTATTTATTATAATCAATGTATAGTCATTAACATAATATATATTGCAGTGTTGTGTCTGAGATGGTTGATAAGGCTTTAGAAGAAGATAGTAACACTTTAATGCATGATGATAATGACACGGCTTTGCGTAGTGTATTTCTAAATATACTGGAAGTCAAGGACTTAGATATACGGGATAAAAAATCTGCTCTAATCGATTTTATAGCTGCAGGCATTGAAACTGTGAGTTCTGAAAAACTTCTTGAATTCATTTTAATTTTTTTTTCTCTTAGCTGGCAAATACATTAATATTTATTTTGAACTCCGTCACTACGGCTTCAAATGCCGCTGAACGCATCATTGAAGAATTTCGCGAATATCGCAATACAAACATAACCCAGGAAGCGTTAACGAATGCATCATTTACCAAGGCGTGTCTGCAGGAATCCTATCGAATACGTCCAACTGCATTTTGTTTGGCCAGAATACTTGAGGAAGATATGCAGTTGTCGGGATACAATATAAAAGCAGGGGTAAATTTTTTATCATATCCGTGTATATATGAGAAAATTTATTAAATAATATTACATACGTTTATTCCACCTGCACACTATTAGCATTTCATTTATAGTATAACTAACGTTATAGTTAGTTATACTCTAGTTTAGCATATTTTAGCTAGCTTATTTTATTTTTAGATTCTTTAATAATTTTTATAATTTTATTTCGGTATTACTCAAATTTCGTATAAATTTAATTTCTGATTAAAAAAAAAAATATTTTTAATATATAATTTAAATTTGTTTTCATATATAATTTTCAAATTTTATGACTCATTGGAAATTATGTACTTTTTATTTTTGATATCCGAAATTATAACATTATTTCAAAAAGTTCTTTAGTTTTTAAATATTTTATTAATTTCTTAATTTATTATACAAACAAATATTAACCTCTTACAGACTGTTGTGCTTTGCCAAACAATGACTGCCTGCTTGAAAGAGTCTAATTTCCAAGAGGCACATAAATATCGTCCAGAACGATGGCTTGATCCCGCTGGAAATTTTTCAGTCAACAATCAAAGTTCTTCGACAATTGTTGTGCCATTTGGCATTGGAAAAAGAACATGTCCGGGCAAAAGATTTGTTGAAATGGAAATTGTTCTGCTAGTGGCTAAGGTAAAACATATTCATCATTTTTGTTTTTCATTATAATAATTATTATTTCATTATAATAAGACTTGAAAACACATAACCGCATTTTTTGTCCATAAAAAAAATCAATGCAATATACATAAGTAGATTTATAATTTAATGTGATATTTAACAAATAAAAATTGCGGTACTAATTTTTTAGGACAAAATCCACTAAATTTTTTTTTAAACTTAATTTAAAATTTTAAATTAAGTTTTTATTTGTTATTAAAGTTCGAGCAAGTTCCAAAATATAATTAGTTTTGTAATAAATGTGTGGTGCAATTCTTCAACATACGAACTATTAATTTAAATAATAACTAAATTTCATGTTTCATGTATATTTAAATATTATTCGTACCAACTAATTAAAAAAATAATAAATTATTAAAAATATCAAAGGAATTTTATTATCTATTAATAAATTATACAAATTCATTAAAATTACTTAATATTATTTTTTATTCTATATATTTATATAGAAATTCATTTTTATTTATTTTTAATTATTTTTTTACAGCTTCTGCTCGCTTTTGATATTAGTTTTAAAAAACCGCTTGAAATGGAATTTGAATTTTTGCTCGCCCCTAAAACGCCACTAAATTTAGTATTACGAGATCGAACATTTTGATCTCTTCTCATAGCGCTGCCAGTTGTAAATAAAAAATTATTATTTATATTTAAAAAAAACAGACAAAAATATCATGAAGTTAATTAAACCTAAGTAGAAATTAAATAAATTGTATTTATAATTTAAGAAGGTAAAAAGTGAAAATATTTTGTAACAAAAGACTGTAACTGTGTATTTATAAGTAAGAATTTATTTATTTTGTGAAATATAAACAACGATAATTATGTATATGTAAATATATTAATATATGAAATAAAATAAGATGACTTTTACAAATATATTAAAAGAATTTTTACTTTTTATAAATTGTTATATATGTATTTTTATTACATATATAACACTGTAGATTGAATAATCACCTATCACCAACTCAAACTGCAGATACTGTAGTGAAGAAAGAGAAACTGCATACCATGTGTTTGGGGAGTGACCCACACTAATGCACAATCATCAGAATAAACACCTAGAAGGGTATTTCATGGATCATAATGATGCAAGACTAAGAACGGAGCACAAGTGATCTTTTAGGTCGCACTACACTATCCCTTTTTTCAATAATCTAATCTTATATTAATTATTTGAATAGTTGTTTTTCAACTAATGCACAAAGAGTATAACACAATCTCGAATGATATTAACTTAAAACTAGTTTAATATATTTGTTTCCAAAATATAGCATAATCATTCCTAGTATGTAGTATAATAATTTCAATTATTTATTGCTGAACAAAAATTTATTAATGAAAAAAAAATAAAGATCGCTAAATCTACGAATTTGTCTATAAAAATTGTAAAATTTAAGGATTTTTATTATTGGTCTTAGTAATTTAAAAAGCCGATGAAAAAAGTCACTTAAATTATAACCATATGTGCCATATGTACTACACTAATATTCTTATCCTAGCGTGCGTGCCACTGAAATTTTCGTACGTGGCTCTAGTAACCCGCTTAGCATAGGTGCGCCATAGGCGTGCAATAGCTGCGACATAAATGATACACATTATAGAATTTATTAAATTTCTATATCTGTTAAGCCCAAGTAATAATCTGCTGATTAAATTTGAAATAACCTTAATTATTGTATTAAAACTGCTGCAGTATAAAGACAAACCAAAAAAAGTAATTAATGTTAATTTTTTCTTGCCGAAAGCGACGCGTCTTACAACAAAAACTAACTATTTAACAGTTCACTAGTGATGAGTACTTGGCAATACTTGAAATAGCATTTTATGGTCAGCCAAATGTCAATATATTATCTAAAATTTTTGTTGTTGTCTTTTCATTTCTATTTGAACCCTTGTAACTTTAAAAAAAAGTAATTTTTAAATACATATAAATTAATAATTAATTTGTAAATAAATATTTTAATAATTTTCAGTTTTATATTTTGATTATTAATAAAATTCATGAATTGATTATTATTTTTGAAAAGACAATCAACCAATATTATGCGTTTGTAAACTTAAACTCCCTGACTTGTGAAGTCCCAGTGCAAAATTTTATTTACACGACTATGGAATTTACAAAATAAAATAATATTTTCATTTAAATTATCGATTTAATGATGGCTTTATATAGTTTATAACAGTGTAAGGTTTATTAAAATCTGCTTAATACATTTTTCCTTAAAAGACGAATTATGATTAAATGAACATGATAGACTTTAATAAATTTTATAGACAAACTTTTTTTTATGCCATTACTTGATACCTATATCTGTTAAGAAATATTGAAAAACAAAACTAAAATATATTAAAAAACGAACGTTATGTTTAGCTATGCTTGCAAAATAAGAAAAGTAGGGATTTGACTCATACGCTAGACCTATCACGTTACAAAAACTCTTAGACATGACATAAAAAAGGTTGAGAATCAATTGTTTATGTTAAGGTATTAAAGTTAAAAAAACAGCCCATAGTTAGTTGCATGTGATACATAAGAATTGACATAGCTCACATATAATATTTATTATTTATTTACATAGCCTACATTACAAAAACAACGATTAAAGTTATTGCAGGGAATGCAATGATATCCAGGATTCAATTTAGCAAAATTTCCTAAGACTATTGCTAAGTCTTTTTTATTATTTATTACAACTTCATTATTTTTGTGTTGCCATTAACATAACTTCTAATTTTTATTATATTGCATTTTTATTATTTATTATTTTAATAAATATTGATACGGACCACAGTTATTTATGTGTATTTTTGTTTTTGCCAAGTTTTATTTTAATTTTTAATTGCTAACCATTGTTAAAATGCTTTATTTATTTATAAAAACATTATTGAGTAAAGCTGAGAATAGTTCTTGTGCACAACCTTTAGCGTTATCGAATGACAAATGACTGATCATATCTACTTTAAAAATATACTTTCGATATATTTTTAATTCATTTAAAAAAGCAAAATCTAAGCTCACTTGAAAAAAATCGTCCGTAATAAGTTATATGCAACTATACATGTATCTTGATATGTTTAATTATTTTAAAAGAAAATGTTAACATTAGCAGACTGCAAATAGCATAATTATGTTATGCTACATCACAATGTTATTGCTTGTTTTTTAATGGGAACATTTTAATTTATTTTCTATTATTCTATTATTTTCTTATTTATTATTTTTTTAATATATTCTAATGCAGTGAGCACGACTATAAAGAAACATTTATTACTGTAAATTGATCTTTTTATTTTTGTTATATTAATATAAAATAGATTATATACGTAATTTTACATACGTTACATTTACATACGTAATTTTAAATAAATTTCTTCGAAAAGTAGTGAACGAGAACAACAAAAATTCGTTTTACCAATATTATTTTAATTAATTTAACTTTTGACTGACTATATAGCTGTTTCGATTATTGTTAAATATCCATCATCAATGGCCTTGGAAATGATTCTTATATTTAATTATTCGTAAATATTTTTTTTTTCTGACTGCAAGTACCAGAAATCGAATTCGTGTCCTGCCAAATTAGAAGCTCAGAGTCAGCGCACTTTAACCAACTGACCCAAAGCCGTATTTGACTTATATTTTCGCACACTTTTCTGGAGTTTTGTTAATTTGCTGTAAAAACTTTATTAACAAATTCACTTGCTGTGTTTATATTAGAACGAAATTATAAACCAGCTGCAGAATAATTGAATTAATTAATTATATTTTTTTATTTATATTTTTAATTGTTCAATTTCAACTTATATTCACAAAACAAATTTTTATAAATTTTGAAAACTCTTAATATAACCGAAGGATGCATTGTTGTTGTTACTTTAATTTTATTTTACAATATCTATCTATTCCTAGTAATTTCACTGCACTTTGTAAATATTTATTTATTTATTTATTGCACTTATTTATTATTTTTGGTTAAAAGTTTTCAAATTTGTTTATGTATTTATTAAACATCTTATAAAATTTTCACAATAGTAACACTTAATTTACCTAATTTTTATCTAATTCACCCTACTCGAAATTCTGGTAAATGTCAACATTCGCTGCCATACCGACATAATTTATTATTTCCCTCAATTTACCATCAATTTACTCGAACTCATACACGGCCTAAATTCAATTACTAAATGTATAAATAAATTAATAAATACAATCTATTAAAAAAAAATCAAAAATAATATTTAAAATTATTTCATGCCTAAATGAATATGTGCTGTTAAAATTAACAATTCTGTATCGTTTAACATTATACAATAACAGTACAATGTTAAGATGTTTATGTTACTATTACAACGTTTTAAACCAGGTTCCATTGTTCGAATTCGAACATGGAGCAGCTCCAAAGCGTTTGTTGTGCTTTGTTTGCTTGGTGCTTGCTCTTATGCAAAGAGCATTAGCATTTGTGGTTAGTTGCTTGAACAGTGAACACGCGAGAAACTTAAAACGGGCAAGAACGTTGAAAATTAATTAATACAAAGAAAAGAAAACTAAACAACAAGTTATAGTAACTATTGTGGAAAACTCTATTGTTGGTGTTGTTTTCATTTTTGTTGTAGAAAGAAGCGTACTACTACGTATTGTGTTGTGTTTATAATCGTGCGAAAACGTTAATAGAAAATTTTTTGAAACATTTATATAACAATTAATTCTTATTATTGTTGTTGCTGAAGTACAGTCACATTATTTATACAGTGGTTTTTTTATTTATTTATTAATAGTAACTAACTACAAGGAATATAGCACGAACGAAATAACAATTTTTCACCAAAATTTAATAATTAAAATGTATGTAACTAATATTAATTTTATTTAATAATTTAAAATTTTTAATAAAAACACAAAAAAGTAAAACTAAAATAAATGAAAATATTTGCATTAATTATGTTATTTAAGTAGAAACTTTATATTAAAACCCGTTTTGATTATATACAAAAGTCGTTTATGTTCGAAAGTTGCGGACTAGTGAAGTTGAAGTTGCACTTTTAACATTCAAAACAAAACAACTTAAGTTGCTAACAATTTTTACATGCATACGTATATATTTTCCTCAAAATTCAAAAAAAAATTAATTTTGAAAATTAACACAAATTTAAGCTTGTGTTAAATAAAATATGCGACAAGTAACGCGCGCCCCACCCCAAAATAAATTAAAAATTCTCACATATATAAATTATTAGTTAAGTTGCTAATTCATTTATTATTTTTGCTTTTTCTTTTCTATTTTGTTTATTTATTATTTTTATTATATTTAGCACATTCTATACGTATATACACTTTGTATAAATGTATGTATGTATGTAAATCATGATTCACATTTGAAGAATTTGTATTCTAGTTTCAATTAGGCGGGAAATTATTTTATTTACATGTGTGTATGTGTGTGTCTGTCAACATTTCAACACACACCACCGCGGACATGCGCTTATGAAGGAATACATACATAAATATACGTAATACAATGCCAGTATCAGTTTAACTTGGTTAATGTTCTTTGCTTTGTACTAGGCAATTTAATACAAATATGTAGTAGGAGTTGATACACACAGCGACTTAGAAGTGACAAGCGATTTTTAGTTCATTTAGTTGAATATTAATTGATGTCACCTTTGCTTTACATAGCAAGTTAGTACTACGTCCTTGCGTCCTGCATTTTTTTTTGTCTTGAATAAGTTTTAAATAAATAATTTTTGAAGTTGAAACTTGAATGAATATGAAAGAAAATCTAGTTGAAGGCAAATGATTGTGATAGGACCTCTTATAGTACAAAAATCATTTCCCTTCAGAAAATGAACTTATGTTCAATTATTATTTAATTGAAAAAATATTTTTTTTTAAAAAACATACATTTATTTAATGCATCTTCTTTTACAATGTGACTAATTAGATACTATTACAATTTTTATTTTACCTATACATTGTATAATATAAAATAAAATAAGTCAAGGTTATATCACGGACCTCACTTAAATTGGTGGGTTAAATTTTCTTGGAATGAGAGTGAGTTGGATTATTAAGAAATCATTAAAACTTTATGAAATTACTAAAAGTAAGAGAGGGGTATTTACTTGAATCTATTGAATCACCCAATTGATCACAGCCGTTGTTTAATATAAATGTTTCTGAATAAAAGTGTGCAGTTTAAAATTATTTTTTTGTATTGACAAAATATAAAAAATCTTATTAAACTTAATAATCTTTTTTAACAGTTAATTAAACAACTTCTAATTATGAATCACACTAAAAAACCAATCCGAAATTCTTTGCCCTTCACATTTACACACATCAAAGTTAGACAAGAAATTACGCAGAACTTATATTTTTTTTATTTTATATTCCAATAGCATTTAAAATGCAAATATAAGTTATATACTTATACTAAAGTGCATCTCACTCTCTAGATATTTTTTAAAGAGTGTGCCTTAATACTTATACAAATTAATGAGATACAAAAAATAGTATAAAAAAATGTCAATTACCACATAAATAAATATTCATTAGAATATATAAATTAATTATATTTTTTATATAAATATAATTTTTTAAGTTCATTACTTTTTAATAAATATATATTTATGTTATTATTATGTTTTTAGAATGAGCAAGTCTTTCACTGAAATAGTGATCTCGGTAAAAAACCATTACGAGTTTTATCCCATTCCAGATTAACAAACATATATGTATATGGATATCTCATTCAAAAATGCACGATATTCTAGTATAAGCTTGAATCTTGTGAAAAAAAAACCAACAGAGAACTTAATGAAAACACAGCTGACACTGCAAAAATCACACCAGAATATATCTTCCTGGAATGATAATTTTTATTAAATTACTTTTGGAATTTCATCACTTCGTAATTAAAAATTTTGTTTGTTTTATGTATGAAGTTCCGATGTATAAAAAAAATTAATTCCTTCAATTCTTGGATTATTACATACTATTCACTAAAAATTCGTATTAATTTATATTTAATATTAAAACTTTTCATTTTGAACATATAAGAAGTATTCTTAAACTTTATATAATATTCTTTTATTAATTGTTGCAAAAAATGATTACTGAATTATTGATATTAGATTAGGTTAGGTTAGGTTATACCGGTGAATTCTAGGGGATACACTTAGGCCTACTGACCGATTGTGTATCCTTAAGGGATCCACATAGGCCTATTGGTTTATTGTGTATCCCTATGGGATCCACTTAAGCCTATTGTCCCATTGTGCTATTTTATATAGAGGAAAAATGATTGATATTAGTTAATCATTAATAATGGAGCCCATAAAAAAAATATATCATGTTTTCCATGAAAAATAAGAAAAAATCATATAGTATTAATTTGATATTAAAACTTATCATTTTAAGCTTAAAAAGTATTCTTAAGCTTAATTTGATGTCCTTCTAATATTTGTTGCAAAAAATAAATATTGAATTATTGATATTAAGTTAGGTTAGTTTATACCGGCGAATTCTAAAGGATCCACTTAAGCCTATTGGCCCATTGTGATACTATATATAGAGGAAAAATTATTGACATTAGGTTAGGTTAGGTTAGTTTATACCGGCGATCCCTAGTAGATACACTTAGGACTATTGATTTATTGTATATCGCTAGGGGATCCGTTTAAGCCTTTTGGCCCACTGTGTAGAGGAAAAATTATTGGTATTAGGTTAGAATACGTTATACCGGCGATCCCTAGGGCTTATTGTGTTAAGGTATACAGAGGAAAAATTATTAGTATTTGTTAATCAATAATAAATGGACGCCATGAAAAATGTCATGTTTTCCTTGAGAAACAAGAACGCCCCTGGTGTCCTTAATATCCTTATGAATAAAAATTACTTGCATAATAAATTAAAAATGACTTTGATTCATATGAACATTTCAAAATATTTAAGAATAAACACAGCTACAATTAATACTTACCACACTCATTTGCGAACGAACCATAACAAGCCTTGACATACATACATATGAACATGCAGCGAGCGATACAATGTAAAAGCATTTTGTTGTTGTTGGAGGAAATTACAATAATTTGCATTCTATTGAACCAAATACCAAATAGTTAAAATCATGCACAATCAACCACATATTTTGTATTTCGTTACACTTGATAGTATAATAAATAATTGAGATGTAAACTTTATACACAAATAAAAATCAAATCACTTGCGTTATTCCATAAAGCAAAATTACAGTTTCTTCTTGCAAAACCAGTATTCACTTTTATTATTTAAACCAATCAATCTTATTTAATTACATATCACTGGCCTACCACTCCAGTAGCGATTAGCGAACTGAACACAAATAACCAAACAGCACTTCACGTTGTGAGTAAAGCCAGCCTTATTTGAATTTCGTCTGCTGGACTTTTAAGCACAAGCATTTTATGCCCGTTTTGTGTTCTAATATGGATTATTTACTTTTATTCTATTAATTTTTTTTTTTGTTTTGTTTATGTTTAGTTTATGTGTTTTATTTTTTATGGCGCAATTTTCAGTTTTTGTTTTGCTCCACATTTACAACTTGGCAATGCATTAACATTATTGGTAGTAAGCATGTCGTAAGCATTTTTTCGATTTTTGTTTTGATACAATTCGAAAAAGTCACGTGAAACTAATATGCATAAAAAAATTTAATTGCTTTTAGCATTTTTGTTGTTGTGTCTTTACTTCATTCAAGAAAATAAATATAATTAAGCTTTTTTTGGTATTGCCAATGTATGTATGAATGTATTATAATTCAATATCTCTCTTCTGTATTTTAGTCTTCTGTGTTTACTCTGTGGCTTCGTGAACTTATAGTGGCACAAAAATAACAAAAATAAAAACAAAAACAATTTCAAAAGCAGAATATTGTAACGTTTGTCAATTTGTACATACTTACATACATACAATATTTTGCAATAAACTGGTTTTTCCTTTTGCAATTGCTGCAATTATTTTTTAATGTTTGCAATTCTTGTTGTTGTTCTCGAGAAAAAGTTGTTGTTGATGCTGAAGCTTTACTTGGTTATTACTAGATGTTGCTTTGTAATAATTTGAAATATTTTTTTAATTGCAAAAGCAAATAACGAATAATCTTCAAATAGTATACATATGTACCCATGTGTTTATATAAAGCGAAAATAATTATTATGCCATAAATAGAATAGAAATTTATAATTTTAAAACTTATATAGTTAATTTATATACTTTTTTAGTTATTGAGCAAAAACTTTTTATTTATTGTATTCTAACGAATTTCGGCACACGTTACTTTGCCTTATGGTTACCAGTTTTCTGAATATTTATTTTATAAATATAATATTTTATTTAAATATTGTGAAAACAAAATTCCGTACTGTACAACAATTAACCATATTTTTTGACTATTCTACTCGTGAACATGTAATACATAAGCCGTGTACAAGTTCGAGTAAACTGATGGTAAATTGAGGGAAATAGTAAATTATGTACGTATGGCAGCGAATGTTGATATTTACCAGAATTTCGAGTACGGTAAATTAGTTAAATATTAGGTAAATTAGGTATTACAATTGTGAAAATTTTATTAGGTCTTTAATAAATAAATAAATGTATTTGAAAAATTTTGAGCAAAAATAATAAATAAGTGCAATGCAAACCATCCCTAGGAAATTTCAATTTACTTAAACTTAATTTACTCGAACTCGCACACGACATAAATAACATATTCTTAAGTAATAGCCCTAAAGCAACAAGACATTTGCTTGAAGTATATTTTAAATTGTACAAACTTATTTCTAAATAGAAAACTTTTAAAT